GGATTTTAATACTGAGAATTTTACCATCCACTAATACCATTTTCTTTTGTGACTACAGTCAAGTACTGCTAAGACCACTATTATTAGGGTAATTCCAGAAATTAGGGGTCCATAAGTGTGACATTTTTGTGTCCCTGTTACATCTGACCCTCGTTTTGTGACACGGAAATATCACTGGAATTGATTTCAACCTATTACCATTTGTTTGGCAGGTCATTTGCATTAATTCATCATTCTTGGAAATTAAAAATGTGTTCTGAACATACAAATCATATGTCGGATGTGACAGGGACACGAAAAAAAATGGACCCCGAATATTTGGAATTACCCATTACAACATAACGCTTATAGTGAAGGAGATACGTACGACTGCCAGGTCCCCTGGTTTTTGTGCTCTTTCTTTTCCAAACCTGATACATGTAATACAAGGTTCCTGTTAGAACAAGGAAATCCCAAAGACCCTGCCCTCTTTCTGTAAAGTTATAAAAGCCTAACTGGAGAAACCGAGCCGTGGGGCTGGTGATATCAAGTGTTTGGGGAGTCCATTGGTAAAAGGCCATTACGACTGGTTCCCCTAAGACTTTTTTTCCAGTTTGATGCATAGAAGATATTTTCTTTGGAAATAAGCCACGGAGGGAAGCATTCTTTGTTTCCATTAATCTTTTGAATGAAACCTTGTAAGTTTATTGTGTCCTTCATGGAAGTCAAAGCTTGTGGGAGTGCCAGTTTCCCCCCCCCCCTTTGTCAGAAAGGGATGATTATGCCAGGGGTGTTGAGGATTCAGCTTTTGAGCCGATTTCAGCTTTTTTTTGTTTCGATGTTGACCCTGAATTTCAGGTTGTTGGTGCACCTGGTCTGTATAAAATAACTATGGGAACTTTTTTACATTTCAGCTTTTAGCCAGCTGTTTCCAGGTTTACTTTTAAGTGGCGACTCACACCCCTGTTAGGTGGCAGTTATTGAAGTGTGTATCCTGCTGTCATGTGTCACGGGGGAAAAAAACTGCACCTGTGAAACATACTCCTTGTAAGCATTCCCTGGAAAAGTCATGATTCAGCGAGCTCAGCAACCCTACCCACTTATTTTCGCGCTCTCCATCTTCCCCGCTTAGCTCAATCAGCTTGTATGTTTTGGTAAACAATCTCCCGTGGGCCCACATCCAATATGCATTAAGGCTTCGTGTACGCAGCAGCCCATTTGTAATTTGCGACGGAGAAGCCGGCAAGATGTACACAAGTTGTCATCTCGTGCTCCCCCCCCTCCCTGTGGGACCTCGAGACTACGTCAGACATGCTGGGAGTGATACCGTCTGTCCGTTGCATCACTGGGATCAGTGAGAGACCGCAACTGGTGATTGCGTTTGGCGTTACGGCCAGCTGGATAAATGACTACGTTTCCCAGGGCTGAGACAGACGAGGAAATCGGCCACTGTTCCAAGAAGTGCAATGTTCAGACTGTCATCTGGGGTCAGCGGCCTGTTGTCTCTTTTTCATTCTCCGGTCTTTGTTCTCTTAGACCCAGCAGAGCTCTGTCAAATTACCCTTTGACAAGTCGAACATTTCTTGGACTCTACTCTTATCCCATCTAGAAGGGCTGACTTTGTGTGGAATCAACTCCAACTTCCCCCTTTGCAGTAGGGAAGATAATGTTCAAAATTTACGCCGAAGCTTTTTTTTTTCCGGGAGAGGGGAGACTGTCATTGGAAAAAAGTTTCAGGTAAGCATCCCAAAGCTGTCATCAGTACAGCTTAGTGGAAGATGCAAATCACCAGCTGCAACTTTGTTGGTGATAACTGTCCGCCGGAGCTGTACATGTACGTGTATCACATAACTGCAGTGATATTTGAATGATGCATGAATGTGCAGGATGGTGTGGGGCGACGCGAAGGATCACGTGTCAGTTTGGTATTAATGAGTCTGTCAGATTGTCACTTTCTCTGTTGATTTCAAGCAGCTGAAGTTTGCAGTGACCTATGTATCGTTTACACTATACATGTCCCAGGAGGTGAGAAATCCACAGCATTGCTTGCACATTAGTGGATTTATACTGTCTGTGAAATCTAGCCTGTTCCCACCGGAAGTTTGCTCAGATGTGCCAGAGAGCAAACTTTACAGTTCACGGCTTTGGTTTTGTATAGTACTTCATAGTGTAAAGTTTCCGTCTTTAAAAATTGGAAATTGATGTGGCCAGGCTTTGGGTTTGATGATATCTCCTGTGCTAGCTGTCCCAGCTGGAAATTCTGTGGCACGAGGTGACCACAGTTTTGATTCTTCAGGTGGAGTAGAAAGTCACATACGGCACCTGTTGTTCTGCACACTACACAAAATGAACAGAAATACCCACTGGACAGACTACCAAAGCAAATGTGTATTTTGAATGCACCGATGGCAGAGGATGGCCATTGCGCAGGTACGAGGCACACAGGTAGATAGATGGTACTGGATGTCCCAAACAGGGTATGAATTAAGCTCTAGAGGACAGAATCTGGCGAGTTCGATCAAGGACCATAGTTAACTATAGTTTGACTATCTCTGATCAAACGCACGCGAGTCGACGATGGTTGGATTAGTCTAGTCAACTATTTGCGATCAGCCTACCGAGGTTGGTCTCGTCGCTGGTTGGTCGCGTTGTTGGTTGACATAAACCAATTTTAAAGCACAGTGGAGAGAGGACCAGTAATAAGAAAAATGCCGGAAGAACAGTATGTGACTCGTCAACGACCATTTTCACTTTTATTTTTGCTATTCTGCCCTTCCTGCGGCCACCTTTTCTCCCCTTCGGCCTAACGACCTGACAAAAGTTGACTAGGGTCGTTTGCACTTCAACTTCACCGCACACGCGCTAGGTACGTCACGAACCAACCACTGGTTCACCAGTGGCCCTTGATCGAACTTGCCCATCACTTTCAGTTCTTTTGCCGAGTTTTAAACTTCACAGACCATCCCCTACAGGGTCACTCAGAGAGCTTAATGTCCGAGTACAGGTGCACAGGTGCACAGGTGCACAGGTGCACAGGTGTACAGGTGCACAGGTGCACAGGTGTACAGGTGTACAGGTGTACAGGTGTACAGGTGCACAGGTGCACAGGTGCACAGGTGCACAGGTGTACAGGTGCACAGGTGCACAGGTGCACAGGTGTACAGGTGCACAGGTGTACAGGTGTACAGGTGCACAGGTGTACAGGTGCACAGGTATTAACTTGTGGTTTTGCAGATGGTGCAGATGGCTTGATGGTTGTACAGCATTCAACAGAATACATGCGAGGCTGACTACAAGTATTCACCATTGTTGCCCTCAAAAACCGCGGCTCTGCAGACTGCTCAGGCTGTATCTGAATGACTTGGCTGCGACTTAGCAATTGCACACAACTCCATGGGAAATAGCCACAGTCATTACCATAGACCCTTGTAAAATAAGACACATGGAATGCCCCGTTTACAGCCCATGTACATGTGCACTTTTATTCCACCGGCTGGTTTCTCTGTGTACAAATAGTACACAATGTCTGGTGCTGAGCTAGATTTCTGCCGCAGGATTCGCCTCAGAAAATTGATTATAAAAAAGTACACAGTCCCTCTTTAAGACACTCGAGACGGCTCAATTATGTGGACATAACGAGTATGCAGTAACATACTGTGCCGGTACAAATATGATTGCCTCGTTTGTTTGATCAACCCCCCCCCAAAATGATATCAGCTCGGTCCTGCTTTCTCCTGCACGTTGGAAAGCCACATGTGCGTACTTTCTTTTTGTTTGGGGAACAGAATCTCACTCATCGGAACCTCATCATTGCCCTCCAAGGTCTCGCCAGGAGGAAGGAAACGCAATCTTCTTGCCTGGGGGCCGTCGCAGCTCACTGCCTGATCAACCGCGGGATGATACATCAAGCCCAAAGCGCTGGGCCGTTGCCTTCACAGACACGAGCCCGTAGACACACAACACTGTAGGGGATTAGGCCCTGGGAGATTGTTTAATATGGCCGTCGTAATTGCATTGTCTTGTCTTCAGTCATTACAGAGGACGAGGGAAGCAGAAAACACCTCATTTTGGGGGTTTCATCGAGTGGCCAGGTTTTTTTTTTCTAAACTTGTTTCTAGTAAGCTTTGTTTTTTTTTTCATCTCGGCCAGGTCTCTGGACATCAGAGTCTGGAAAACCGAAATCAGATCTTCTTCCAGTCGAGAAACACGCAGTGTCTACCTCCGAAGAGAAAGGAAATTAGTGATCTAGATTCTTTTGGAAACAGCAATTTCCGCAGTAGATCAGAATGAATTTGCGTCAGAATTGCTGAAAAGGTCACAAGACATCCTTGTCGGCTCTGCGATGCAAATTTTTTACTCAGAAACCTGTTTTGTGCTGACAGCCGGTCCTTTGAACTGTGTGAAAATTGTCAGGGGTCCCTTTCTTGTTTAAATTACATACTTTCTCCAACATTTGATTTGTTCTTGGTTTTTCTCGGCAACAGAGGGCGCTGTTGTAATCTCACCAAGTTTACTCATTACAGTTCATGCGTAGTGAATAAATGCCATGTTGAATGAAGCACAAGACATTGAAAGCAACATTAGCCACGCTGAAAATTCCATCAGTCTGGGTGAACACTTCTAATGCAGAAAACAAACTTAGGAGCCGTAAAGCTTTCCCTTGCAACAGACATCAGAATATGGAAATTCACATTAGCATAACAAAGTTCTACAGACACCCCCAGTGCCCTTAAATATGGCAGTATTTGAAGATTGAGCGAGGAGGTCGGTACGCTACAGTACTTGTACATGTAGGATTCAGAGATGTGCTGGTGCATTTTACTGAATTTCTTCATAGACGATCTTCCTGTACACTAGCCTTTTATTTTGGAAAGTGGAGAGAGGATTCAGTTCAAAGATTTTGTCAATTTGTACAATCTTGCTTTTTTTTTTTGCTCGGCATGGTCTGCATTGAATATTTGGAACTGTATCCTAAAATTCTCAAAAATATCTTCAATGCTTTTTGTTTAATTTTTTTCTAGTCCGGATGTCAGTAAGGTTCAAGACCAGTTCACAGCCTACTACACCGTCCATGGTGCGACCCTTGGCTTTACCAACTTAGCCTTCATAGCTTCCTCTAAGACTGGTGTGCCGGTCTCCAGCAAAGTCAGGGACATACAGGTATGCAGTGCTGCAATTCAGACCACCACAAGACGTTCCACAATGCCAGTCACAAGACCGATCACAAGAGCAGTCACAAGAATAGTGACAGGACCAGTCATAAGACGTGTCACAAGAGCAATCACAAGGACCAGTCACAAGACATGTCACAAGACTGGTCACAAGACCAGTTTAAATACATGACCAGTTACAGGATGAGTAATAGTCACAAGACTGGTTACTAGACCAGTTGCATGACCAGCCACAAGACTAGTCACAAGGACAGTTACGAGACCAGTCACAACCTCATTCACAAGACCAGTGATCAGACCAGTCACAAGAGCAGTCACAATACCAAGTCACAAGTATTAGGTTGAACAGTTGCAAAGGAATTTCTTTGTTGCAGCTCATTGAATAGTTTGTGACTTCAATTCAGACTGGCAGTCTTGTGTTGGTTTTGTGTTGGTCTTGTAGGGTCTTGTGGTGGTTTGAAGAGGTCTTAACTACAACACTGAGGGTACTTGGAAGCATCTTGCCCTTAGGCCAGAACCAGAAAAAGTTACGTTTTCTGTTCACAAGAAAGACCAACATTCCGTTGCTGTTGATCTGTTTTTGATTTGCTGCATGCGAGAAACTTGATATTTAAATAAATAGTGTGTCAAATTTCAAATTACAGAGAAAAATATTGTAAACTTTAGAGTCTACAAAGCAGTGAAGATAACATTTTCAAATCAGATGAGTTTAAGTGAAACATTTGTGCAAAAATCAAATTCTGGATCCAGAGTCTACCAGTATTTTTTATAAACCCAAAATGTTATTAATATGCAAGCAATAGATGTAGTAGTAAATATTTGTTTTAAATATCTCTGGCTTGTTAAAAGTGGCATTTTTATGTTAAACTTGCTTTTTTTTTGCCTGTCTCCTTCCTATCAACCGATGAAATGAAAACGTTTTCGAAATAAACCTCCATCTGTGTCACTCCATACTAATGGTTTTTTAAAAATATCTGTCTCCTGCAGGTTTTCCCTCGGCTCCAGTTGTCACCCAGAAACATCACCCTTATTGTTGGTGCTGAATTTCAGGTGTGTATGGGCCCCGAGCTGGACCAAGAGAGGGCGTAGTTTTCCTAGCAATGGAGGCTCCTTTGGTGGGAGCTGCACTTCGCTAGTTCACAAATGAATGTAAAATGCACGCGTTCAGATTGCATCGCTACTAGAAAATAAATACTCTCCACCAACATGGCTCTTTTCAACCAGTGAGGGGTGCTTCATCTCAAGGCCAACTATGCATTTTATTTTGTAGCCTTTTTTTCAATCTTTATGGAGACGAGAGTCCCCTTGTAATGTACAGTACTTGCAAAGATGTTACTGGCAAAGTAACTGTGAGTAGGCCTACTGGTGAAGTACTGGTAAAGTACTCCACTGGTACTT